GCCGGGGGGTGCGCCGAGGGGCCACCAGGCGTCGTCGTCGTCGTTGTCGTCGTCGTCTGATTCGTCTGATTGAGAGAAGGAGGAGGAGGAGGAGGAGGAGGAGGAGGAGGAGGAGGAGGAGGAGAGGAGGAGGAGGAGGAGGAGGAGGAGGAGGAGGAGGAGGAGGAGGAGGAGGAGGAGGAGGAGGAGGAGGAGGAGGAGGAGGAGGAGGAGGAGGAGGAGAGGAGGAGGAGGAGGAGGAGGAGGAGGAGGAGGAGGAGGAGGAGGAGGAGGAGGAGGAGGAGGAGGCGGAGGAGGAGGAGGAGGAGGAGGAGGAGGAGGAGGAGGAGGAGGAGGAGGAGGAGGAGGAGGAGGAGGAGGAGGAGGAGGAGGAGGAGGAGGAGGAGGAGGAGGAGGAGGAGGAGGAGGAGGAGGAGGAGGAGGAGGAGGAGGAGGAGGAGGAGGAGGAGGAGGAGGAGGAGGAGGAGGAGGAGGAGGAGGAGGAGGAGGAGGAGGAGGAGGAGGAGGAGGAGGAGGAGGAGAAGGAGGAGGAGGAGAAGGAGGAGGAGGAGAAACATCTTCGCTGATCAGAGCTATGACGTTCCAACCTACTTCAGCCTTGACGACCAGAAAGAATTCCGAAAACCAGGGAAACACCGAAACTGGAGGGCTTTCTGGTGTCGGGCCCTGGGAGGCGATATTCGTTCCACACCTTGCCAGCGCGTCGGACAAACACCGTCGATTTTTTTGACGCTCGAAAGTATTTGTGAGTTGTGGTCCCTAAGTACGATGGGAGTAACATACGCCTGGAGGAGGTCTAGGCCTCTTACTATACTCATGGAAAGAATTGGTCTGACCAGGGTTGGCCAGAGGGGGTTGACTGGGAAGGTTGGCCGGGCCCATCGTCGCACGAGTTGATTTGCGACGTTGATTCTGGCAAATGAGGTTTTCGCCTGAGACATCCTCTTAACAACATACGATGTTGCTATGAAAGACAGTCTCCTGCCTGATACAGCAGACTAGACGCGTTAGACATGCTCCATGTAGCAGTGGACAGCAGCAGGAGGGTGATACAATTTCCCTCCACATTCGTATCATCCAGTATCTGTGCTGTCTCGTTTCCGCCCTCGTGCTCTCGAGGGGGGCAGGATTTGTCCGCCCTGCCTGGCGGGGCAGGAGACAGCTGTGGCATGAACGCGAACCTGAATTTGTGTACTTGCGAGATGCGTGTGTGGCGGCATCCGGGTTTTCGCACACCCGCGCAGGGAGCAGTAGAATACGTGAGGTGCCGGCAGGTGTGCCTTGCACCCTGTGCTGGACATTGGCGGACGAGCTAACAACATGGTCCCGTGCAGGGGGGGAAAACAGGTTCCTGCCGGAGACATTGCGAGGAAGTCTGATGCGGAGTCGAGAGGCAATAGAAGAACACGTAGCACAACATAGTACAGAAACAACTATCATTCCACGCCATGGTACGGCATACATGTCATAATGTTGTTTGACTTCAATTCCTTACCAGGTTCGTCGGAGTGGGTCCCAGTCGATGGGGCCGGAGGATCGCGCCTCGTCGCCGATGCATCGACGATGCGGCTCGATGTGGCACCTGCGTTTCCCCATGCCGACGTCGCCGAGGCATCGCCGACGTCGCCGATGCATCGCCGATGCATCGCCGATACATCGGCGATGCGTTGGCGATGCGGCGGGATCGTTCGATCCCATCTGCTCGGACCCCAACGAGGAGGCCTCTAGGATTAGGTCGGGCGTGTCCCCCTACAGGCGGAGTCTGGACGAACAGTTCGCGAGAGTCAACTAGTAGTCAAACATGAGCCCACTTATTCAAGACATCGTTTTTTAGTATTGGTTTTTCTTGTCTAACATGTTTCGTTTATTTTTTTTGGGGGGGGGTGTTTTTTATGTTTCGTCTAACAAGCTCCTCTTGTAGAGAGACATGCCCGACATAACTCTGAGAGGGGGCGCAGGCGGGCGAGGGCCGGGCTCGATGGGGCCGCCGCCCTCGCGGCTCGCCTCCCGGCGAAGCCCCATGGGCGCGCGGCGCGGCGCCACGATGCCGCGAGGGGCGCGACGGTGCGCTCGCGCCAGCGCGAGCGCACACCGGCATGAGGCTCGGGCGTGCCCCCCTACGGGAGGAAGGTTCGAACATCGTGAAACATGGTCAGGGTTCGTTTTTTGGCTATTTTTGAATTCGTCTCTCGTATTTCAAGCTTTCCGCCCAACATCCGCCTGTAGGGGGACACGCCCGACCTAACACCAGCAGGAGGAGACGGAGGACGTGGATGTGGAGGGGGAGGGGGGAGGATCGGTCAGAGAAGGAGATGGTACCCATGCCGCTGCCCTTCGGCCGTTTCTCCTTTTTTTGACCTCCCGGGAGGCCCTCGTCGCCACCGCTGGATTCGCCTCGAAGTTCTGGTCTGGTCAGTATGCACCCCGGGGCAGGTACAGGGAGTAGGGGTAGCGGTACCTTCTGGTATCTCCAAAGGGGGGGTCGACGGGGGTGGGGGACGACGGCTAGTTTGCGGACCGGTGGAAGAGTATGATGATGGTTGAGGGGGGTGATTGCGAAGGGGGCAGTGGTGGAGCGAGACAAGAAACTCGCTCTCGAGAGGAGAGAACCAGAACGCAGAGGAGCAGCCTCCCGGAGCGCTCTGCAGCAGGCACGCGCGACGGCGCTCGGCGCGTAATCTACGTAGACGCGAGTGGGCGAGAGGGGATGCCGGCCGCGCGCGTGAGCACGGGTTCGGGTCGGAAGAAAGAGGTTCGGGACGATCAGAATGGGTACGGAAAGAACGGGTACGACGCCCAGCAGAAGCTCTTGTTCATTTTGGACAGGACTCGCTGTTCGCGCCGCCGCGGACGCGATTTTTTGAAGACAGAAAGTCGCCGGCGCCTGCTCAACAGCGGCCGCTGTCTGTTTTGGATAATATTTGCTGTTGGGCATTCTACTCCTTTTTCCCATGCAAATGTCGGGCGTCCAACGAAGTGGGGGGATACAGAGAGGACGATGCCATAAGGACACCTTGTGCCCAGGAGGTGCTCGAGCTTTCGGGCTGCTCCCCGGGCGCAAGTCTGGAACCCACTCGTGGCCGAGGTTCGCCGGGGTCGCGGCAGTCCCCTCGCCCTTTGTCCGGCGATCCCTCTGGCAGCGCGATGACTGGGGCAAGGGCGGGGTGCGGAAGCTGCGGCAGGCATCGGGTTGCGGCCCCGCCGTTGTGAGCTCTCCTGGATGCGCTGGCGCCTCTGGCTCCGTGAGGCGCCAGGCATGCCAGCTGCGTGAGCGGATTCGCAGACCCTTCTTTTTCGGAGGTGTATGGACCTCCTACCCTGACACGTCGATTAGCGAATCGGCCGTTCTCGGGTTCGCGAGAGGGCGTCGCGGCCGTCATTTTCGTGGGTCCAGGTCCGTCGTTTTCGGTCCTAGGCCGTTCTCACTAGAGGGTGGTGTACTAAAGCGAGGTTTGTCCACCGCCGACCTCTGCTGCCCCGCACGGTGGTTCGACCCGACGTGGCGCGCGTGCGCGCACGCCCAGCTGCCCGCCCGAACGCGCTCCAGCTCATGCGCTCTACTGGGGTTAAGTCGGGCCTGTCCTTCTACAGGCGGAAAATTCAAAAATTGTCAAACAGTAGTTTGGGGCAGTTTTTGAGTACTTTTTTGATATGTGTATATTTTTGTTGAGTATGTTTTATTTTTCCTTCAGAATCCGCCCGTAGGGGGAGAGGCCCGACCTGATGCTGGGGCCAGGAGTGAGGTGGACTCGACACCTGTCCCACAGCCGCGGCATGGCGCCTTGGGTAGCGACGGTGGCTCGAGCCCCTCTTCGGAAGCCCCGGGCCCGCCTGAGCGGCACGCGGCGGCGCAGCCATGACGCAGTCGGGCGGCCGGAAGCATATCCGCATGCCTGCGCCAGGTCCGCCACCGAGCCAGCGAAGCATTCCGTGCGGCGACACTCCGAGCACCGCCCAGAAGGCCGTCACATTATGGCACCTCTCGTTCCCACTTCTTTTGAGGAGCTCTGATGGGGACCTCTGGGCCACTTTGGGCTGTCTTGGGCTCGTGTGGGGCAGTCTCTGGAGTCCCTTGGGGCCTTCTTGGGTCCTCTTGGGCCCTCTTGGCTGTCTTTGGGGTCTCTTGAGCTCGAACTTGAGTGGGTAGGATGACGAGATCATAGAGGACACATAGGATGCTGATGAGGGAGGGCGCAACATGTGAAGCTATCGTCCCGACGCTCTCCCAAACATCATGTACATATCGACATCTCTTGTCGGCAGGTCTCCAGAACACCTGGAACGGCTACCTCTCGAAGACCAATGCATGTACTCTGTGACATCTGAGACCTTGGCTGTGTTTGTATCATCTTGGACAGCTGTGTGGTCGCCCCCCAGTGGAGATGATGAAGAGGAGGAGGAGGACGTTGAGGAAGAGGAAGGCAGGAATATGAGCATTCTAGAAGACTGTGTACGGTTGCTTCTCGAATGCAGCCGTGTAGAACAACTCACAGAGCCGTCACAGGTGACACCTCGGCCATTTCGGAGATATTCCGGGTTGTCTCGAATTTCTTCCTTTCGGAGTAGGAGTATGAGGAGCAATCGTATGAGGAGCAATAGTGTGACGAGTAGGGAGGGCGTACTATGTTAAGCTCTTTTACCGATGCACTCCCATCGTTCACACACCGGTATCTTCTTGTTGGCAGGTATCCAGAACGCCGGAAACGGTTGTTGACGCACCGCCTGGAAGGCCGTCACGTGTTACACCACGACCGTCTTGGCGGCAGTTTGGATTATTGTGAGATCGTCTTGATCTGGAGATGCTTGTGAATATTTACGCAGGACGAAATATTTTCCTCTTGAGGTGCACATGGCGATGATGAGTTGGGAATGAATGACCGAATCACTTGTTATCTCATACGAGTCTGCTCAAGACTTCAAGCCGTCGCTTCTCTCCCAAGAGGAACAAACTTTTGTCCTGGGGATGTATAGACCGCCAGGGGTTCCCCCTGCAGTTGCAA